ACACTGTCCTATGAGTGGATATTCTGTATTGTGGAAACTTCCACTAAGCATGCACATCTTCCAAAGTGGACACAAAGTCCATAACTGAACAACTCTCATTACCAGGCAGCTCCAATAAGATGACACCTTCCAAAAGAGAGCAGTCAATACCATAACTAGAGCACAAACCTACTCTAAGTATACACTCTCCATACAGAGTGGATATCTTCAATATATTGACACCTTTCATACGTCATTACCACTCATATAAAGCAGCCGCCATCTAAAAGGGCGTTTCTCATTCAGAGGTGTGAATAAATTCAAAATATGGACTCCTCCAATAAGTTTATACCTCTCAAAGTGGACATCTCTTAAAAGTGGAGACCAGTCATACAAGGACACTTCCATTAAATGGACAGCAACTTTAATCTGACACCTTCCTTACTGAACTGAACCCATTCCATTTGCAGACACCCTCCACGAGCATTTGAATTTGTTGAGGTGCCTCTGCTACTGACAGTAAATGTTTTCTTACAACAGTATATTAATAAGTAGATTTATGATGCTAATTTTTGAAATTCAGGAATGACCTGACACTGTGGAAAGCTTTTGCAGAGATAGAGTGGTTATCTGGTAACACTGATGAAGCTCGCAGAATGTTTGACTCCACTCTCACGATGGGCGGTGAAATGTTTTCTGATGAACAGAGCAGAAGGACAGCTTTAGCACCTCTTGTCAGGTTCGACCAACTATTTTATTCTGGTTTTGAAACAAATTCTGTGATTTTTAATTTTTAATTGTTAAGAATTTTCTACTTGCTCCAGAGTCCAGCACTGTAAAAGTTAAGCCACCACATATCCTGCAGCCTCAACCAGGCTACGAGACTCAAACTTGGACCTCTCAATCCAGAAGAAAACAAACTACATGTAGCCATTATGCCAGTGTGTATAGTTTCTGTACATTTTCTTAATCCCTGCAACCAGAACTTTATTTTATTGATAACGAGTACAGTGTAAAATTACCGGTATCCTTCTTTTTATGATAACAACATTTCCTCTTTTGTTATCAGGTCATATGCTGAGCTTGAAGTTGGTGTCACTGGAAACTCAGAAGAGTCGCAGGTTATGTCAAGTGAGGAAAACAAGAAAGCATTACAGATCTTGACCACATTTGCCGAGGGAGCAAACTTTCAACCTTCCACGTCCAATACATCAACTGCTGACGTGTCTGCTGTTCGACTGCTGAAGTCTCGTAGAATCTACCAGAAATACCACCAAGGAATTACTGGCACAACTGAGTCGTCCCAAGAAAAGAGACAGTTGCTTGACTGCGACATTGCCTCTGGAAGTCTGGCAGTTCATCTTGAAGCTTGTAGTGTTTTGTTTGAATACTTGAGCACTGGCATTCAAGGTGTATTGTCTGTGTGTAATGATATTATTTCAGTCGCTTCATGTGATCAAGCTCACCTCCTTGAGATGGACATTGAACTCATTCTAAGCTTTTACATCAGGCTGTTTAGATTTCACTGCACGCGTGGCAGAACGCTGCCCCTGAAAGACACTAGAAATATTGTACACTTTGCATTGGAGAAATTTCCTGATAATCCTGAATTTCTCTCATTTTACATTCAGCGTGAATCAAAGTCAATTCTCACTGGTGAGATCAGAAGGATTCTTGACAAGGCTGCCCAAAAGGCCACCACACCTGTTCCATGGATCTTTGCAATTTATTATGAGCAGCTTAGGGCTAAGTCCCTGGTATCAGTCATGGAATGCAATGATCTCTCTGCTCTAGGCTCGCAAGAAATCTCCGCAGCTGTTACTTCTCTTCCAGTCACTGGTGTAGTCCATCGTCAACGTTCTTTGTTTGAAAGAGCAATCTCCTTTCCTTCTGGGAGACACTGTGTGGCATTATGGAGGATGTTTATGCAATTTGAAGTATGTAACTGAAACTTTTTTTACTTACTCCATTTAGTGCTTAAGTTACACAATTATTCAATTAATAAAGTCATGATGCAGCCCCGGGCGGATTCCCATATAAAAAGGATAGGGGTGCTCGTCAGAAATTGTGAAAAGAAACCTTAAGAGGTACAAACTGTTTTGTGGGCCTGGCTTGAAACATTTTTCTCTCCTAAGAGGCTAGGTACCAATTCAAAAACAACACATTAACTCACACTGACTTTTTTTGGCTTGATACCCTAAAACGTACCTCAAAAGCTCCTACTGTGGACCTTTTAGGGCTGAACACCTTAAAAGGTACCAAACCTGCTATTTTACCCCTAAAAGGTACAACAACAATGACGAGGCTTAGAAGGTTTGGGGCAGTTTTCATCATCTACTTCCCTCTCTGGTTTACTGGTAATTTGCCACTTACAGTTTTAATTTCCCTTTTTAGTCAAAACTTGGGAAAGAGAAAGTCAAGTCAGTGTTCTACCAGGCTCTCCAGAGTTGTCCCTGGGCCAAGGTAATTATAACAAATCTTATTACTATTAAAACTGGTCAGTCCTGCAAATATTGACATAAAATACAGACTTAAGCCTGCAAACATGGGTCTACATGTACTTCCCGCTGTCGCTCGTCTGTGGAAAGATGTCTGCTTTTCAGGGGAACAGACCTTGTACATTCTGAGGACGTGCATGAGATTTGAGCCAAAAACTTCGATACTGGAAAGATTAAAGACCCATTTTCGTCCAGGATGCATTACACACTGTTGAGCATTGGAAAACCTCAAAACCTCGCTATCAGGCAAATCGAAAGAATAACAGATGCATGAAAACCATAGTGGTCATTACTAGGTCTTAAACATTTTATATCTTTGATTGGTCTCTGCCAAAACATTAATTTTTGAAGTTTGAAACAGAGAGCAAACTCAAATTTCTATTTTAAAATTCACTTCCAAAGCAAGCCCTTAAAACAGACTCTCAAAATTTCTGTTAATTCACTTCAGGTTTTGTACATGGATGCAGTGCAGCATATACCAGATGACATTCAAGACATTGTCGATTTAATGACCGAGAAAGAAATCAGGCTACATGCTCCACTTGAAGAAATCGAACTCCTTCAAGAGTGTTAATGCACTGAAATAGTTGGTGCTGTCAAACTGCCCATATAAAGTTGTAGCGAAAGATAAAATCAGGCCAGACCTGATATAGAAAAATTTGAGTTTATCAAGTACACCGACAACTGTCAGCTGACATTCAGCCAACAGTCGGTGAACTGTTGGTAGTCTGTTGGTAACCTGTCGGCAATGTGTTGGTAAGTCGTGAACTGAAATGTGTTGGCTGACAGTTGAGCAATGGGTTACTGACAGCTGAAAATGAGAGCCATTGTTCACTTCAACCTAACTCTATTTAAAGCAGACCCACAGATGTCCTTCTTAGTGAGATTTCACTGTATTACATCTGTTTTTTTAAACAAATCAAAGAAACTGTCCCAAGTCCAGTCACATTCTTGTACGAGGTGACTATTGACATTAAAACACAAGTCTCCATTGTAAGATGCTATTGTCTTTTTATTGATTTTGTATTTTCAATGCCAAGAAACAGTGGTTATAAAAATTGTAACAAAATTCTGGAATATATAATACTTACATTTTTGTCTGTTTCTGCATGCTCATTGATTATCATATCAAGAAAATGTACATGCTGGTTACTATTTATAAATATTTACATCTAAATACAGCAGAAACTGTTGACAACTAAATAATAATAATATAATAAGAATTATACTACTTTTTTTAAAGTGATGATATAAATCAGTTTCACTGAGGTTTCCTGCAAGCTGAGCCTCTCTTTACATCTGCATTTGCCAAAAATTAATACCAGGAAAGAGTCCTTGAAATTGATGTAATGTTATCATCTTATTCCACATTCTCCTTTCCTTTTACCATAATTTGGCAAACATCAAAGGTTCGGTTAACAGGTTGTGAACTCTGCCTTCAATGAAAAGTCAACAGTAGCAGATGCTTAGGAAATGTCATCAAAACCACAGAGACGAAAAAACGCCTTGATCTGACACGGAAATAAAGAAATTAAAATATCTTTTTACAATCTACTGTATTCAAGCGGGTATTGGTGCTTTGCTCTTAGACCTGTTTTTACTACTCTAAAAAGTATTTTTCCGAGTTTTGCTTTGAGCTTAGGATTTCAGCTGAATGTTGTGGCTTGATCAGTGCCAATTATGTACACTTTGGGGTTTTATTATATAGCTAGTGATACAAGTAGTCTAACTTACCAAACTAGCTAAAAATCTTGCTCCTATTCAGAGTTTAACATTAATTACTATTGTATTCTGAATTTAGCAAGTTCAGATAGGGTGCATAAAATGCTAAGTACAAGGCTGATATCATTTACCATTTTCTGCTCAAAATGTTATTACCCTCTGTTAAATGTAATAATTAATGATGCTAAACACCACATATTAGCATGTTGGGTCTTCAAATTGCTGAACTTTTCCAAAATGAAAAGTTTACCCTCGAAGTTAACTAATGGAAAGTTAATTCACTGGCACAGACAAATCATTTTTGACAATGCCTGTGTCAGAGTCTGTACCCACAGTTAGAGACCCATGATCACTTACAATAGTATGGATATCATCGGCAGTTTGAGTGCCACTGCTCTCAGTGACCACTGCCTGTGCGGCATACGCATGCACACCAGAGTTTATGTCCTGGTGTACTTGAACTGTGGCAAGGGAAAGAGATCCTGGAAGCGTCTGCTGGGATATGTCACTTGCCTCTCCTGACAAGTGATGGGTGTGCCCTGAGGTCTGATCTGTGCCACTGTCAGAGAGATTAGATACAGTCACCAGTCCAGATGAGGGTGATGCATACACACTGTACATCACCGGGATTTGGCTTGCTTGCGAAGACGACAGCATCATGGACGAAGGGACAACATTTCCCAGGGAAACAACACTTCCATCTTGATTGGTTGCTATAGGCACCACAACAGTTCCGACAGACTGCAAGTTGTTGCCTTGTGATCCAGATGAGTGGTCCACATTATGTTCATGAGTTTGGCTTGTATCCTGGACAATAGGCAAGGTGATGGTGTTGGATGATGTAGTGGGGTTGACGGCATTTACTTGGACTGTCTGGTTATGGGGCTGCTGTACTCGCTGGATCTGTACAGCTGGCTGTGTCAAAACCTGCCCAGGATGGAAAATATTAAAGTATGAAATTATGGTGAGAAAAATGGGGCAACTGAGAGTCAATGCGCATGTTGGTGACAATAATTGAAGCCCCTTTATAAGAATGAGACAACAGCAGAGAGAAAGTTTTCATCTCTTAACACGCTGAAATCCCATGCTTGGATACACATCCTGTTAAAATTTAATACACTTGTGTAACATGGACATCCTGTCAATGCTGAAATACTTTCAGTCCCCGCAGGTATTAACTGAGTTCAACAGAATCCATGAATTTCACTAGTGTTATTTGGTTCAGAAAGTCTCAGAAATTTGAAAAACATGCTCGGAGAATTTCATGATAAGCTCAAATTCAATGATTGTTTCACTGGCATCAGTCAGTATTTTTAGCCTTACAATTAAAAGGGTCTTCATATACTTTTAAACTTTTCACTCCTCCCTGGTTCAAGGGAATACTAACAAATTACAAATATATAGCAACAATTTGCCCCAAGCTTGAAACGTCTGCCAATTTTTCAACTGCTGGAAATTCTTATCTCCACTGAGCAATATAATTGATCCCCTTCCCTTTCAAGGACAGAGTGCCGTGAAAACGTTGTTGGAATGACTTTTAAATTCCTCAGTTGAACAAATATTGCAATGCTTGATAGTTTCTATTACTGAAAATAGTCACACACTCACTTTGCAGAGAACACTCAGTGTCTAGTTTGTTGAATACCCAAAAAGGACAAGCATACCTCCAGCAGGTTATAATCATGAAGTGAACTGAGACAAACAACTTTCACACTCTTAAAATTCCAAAATTTAAGCTGTCCTGCTGTTCATGTTTATAAAACACCGAATAAGGATCATGTTCAGAAGTCGGAGTGCATTCTTCAATCCATTGTAATGGAAAAATTGTTCACAATCACAACAACATATTTTGACCAAAACTGTCATAACACAGTCTAATAGATAATAGCTTTTGTTTAGTACAACTCAACCAGATCTTCTAACCAATGATTTTTGCATACAAGTGAAAATATGAAAGATCTCAATTTGCATATTAATTATTTTCACTTTGGCAATTATAAGACAAAATATAAACAAGTTCTTGTAAGTCTGAAATATTCAAAAATCTAGACTGAACTGGAAGAAATTAAATTCTTTATTTCTGAAATAAGTTCTAAGATCTGAGCAACTCTCAAAAACAAAAACTTGCCAAAATGAGAAGGGTTTGACTGTTGAGGGAGACTAAATAGCTGTGCATAACAAGTGTAATGTATTACATCCAAAAGTATAGCACAAGTAATTAGTCCCAAGCATCCAGCATCTAAAACTGCTGCTAGGATTTATTTTAAATTTTTAACTCCAGACAATAGAGAAATTTTACCCCTATCATTTGAAGTAGAGATGAACAAATGAAATCGTCTTTCTTACCTGTACAGAACCCTGTTGCTGTCCTTGGGCAAGTGTCTGTCCCAGCTGAACCGATGTCCCCGGTGCAAAGATAGTGGTAAAGGCTCCCCCCGGCATGGCCTGAACAGAGTATGATGATTGAACAGAAGCATTCTTGTTCCCCCCTTGCTGTTGAATGTTTGATGGCGGAATGTATGTGGTGATGGGGAAGGAATGGCCTGTTGCAGGCAAGGCTGTTATGCCAGTCATAGGTCCACTGGTGCCTGATAATGCACCCACTGTCAAACCTTGATTAGTGTCTATTTGCTGTGAGGTAAAAATACCACCCCGATCCTACAAATGTACAGAATTCAAAATGAGCATGAATTTCACACAAGTGTACACGAAATAAAAATCTCAATGCAATTCATGTATCACAAGTAACATATTAATTAAAGGTATGGACTTTTTCCTTATATTATTATCTAGTGAAATATTTTGTCTATTAAATTTGTTTGTTGCCTGTTATTAATCACATTATGCATAGCTTCCTGTTTACTCCAAAATCATATAACTTAGATCCTGAATTATCCTATTTAAGTTTGTACAAGTTTTTTTTTTTTTTTTTTTT